GAAACTGGTTTGCTAATGAATGCAATTTCATGATTTCAGGCGGAACCCAGTAATGTGACCGTTACCAGTGCCAGGCCCTCAGCCGAGGCTGCCGATCTATCATCAGACGAGTCGTTGAAGAAAGACATCCCAATTCCAACGAAGAATCTAGCAGCTGAGGAACCAACTGCGAGCGTTGTTCAGGCTGAGGGAGTGAAGGCAGAAATTGAAAGCAAACTTTTGAACCTGCCGACCAAGTTTAATATTGTCAGGAGCAACGAGGACAGGAAAAGTAAGTGAAACTACCACTAATAAGTAACATGCGAAGTGAAGTCGGAAATATCCTGACTGTTAATTCTTCACAATTCACTTGCTATATTTCGTACCCAGGGCAACTGAAAATCAAGTACCCGGACGTTACTGGTGACTTTATCTTTGTAGATCTGGTTAAAGGGGGAACTGGATTAGGTAAGTTTAAGATCGGCGTATGCAAGTTGAGCAGACACGCGTGTCTGCTCTTTTGTGCGTGTTTTTTGACCTCTTTGAATTCTCACCCAAAGCGTCCGTGGAGCAGGCCATATTCTGAGGTTTGTTCAGTTCCCATTGGATTTCTCCCTAGTTTAATGACGATTGTAACTGTTTCGTTTTTTTTTGTTTACTTATAAGGTCTGAGTATCGCGGGCGGAAAAGGTGCAGCGGCAAATCGCATTTTCGTCGTAGATGTCAAACCAGGCGGGCCGGCGGAGAGAAATGGACAAATTAAACAAGCTGACGAGATCCTTGAAGTGAATGAAGTCTCCATTCGGGGCTTGACTCATTACGAGGCCTCTACGATTCTGAAAGTAAGTCAGAGCTTGTTTTTGAAACATTTAACTTATCAACCCTTCATTTTCTCAGTGTGGTATGCAGACTTTAATATTAAGATTCTAATTCCTCTTTTTTTATCAACCGACAGAACACGCCACCTAAAGTCAACCTCGTATTAGGCAGGTCCCAAGAAGCCGCTGATTACCTCAGTCGATCCAGGACACCGCCGGCTCATGAATCTCCCCGAGGCCAACAGTGGCCCGAACAGGAAGCAAAACAACTCAATATCCACTCCATCGAGTCATCTCCGACAACACCGAGGCGCGAAATCGAAAGTCCACGACGATCAGAGCCTAGTCCGCGCTCGAGTCCTCCGCCGGTTGCAGAGGGTATTACCGTGTCACCAACCCTTTTACAAGAACTGTCTGGGGGTCAGAAAGTAGAACGCATTGACTTTGTTAAGGTATGTCAGTGACGAATTTCATTCGTGAGATTGGCTGATTGGGAGGGAAAGGTCTTGTGCAGCTGTTAATTCTCATGGTAAAGCATTTGGATGAGGTGTTATTTTCTCTTCTCTTTCTCGGCAGAGCCCAACTGGTCTTGGATTTGCTGTTGTAGAAGGCCCAGGATTCGGTGGAGGCCAAACAGGGATTTATGTCAAGGACATTACTGACGGAGGACCTGCCCAAAAGGTTCCTAATCTCTTCTGTGTAGAGACCTTATGTTGAATGTTTTGTTAGTCAGGGCCTATTTAATGACGTCATGTTCATTAGTGGCTTTCTTCTGGCTCTTTCATTACGGGCTCAGAAGTTTTTATGTCTTTTGGAGTAGGGGTTAGTGGTAAGTACATTTTTTAAGGTGTGTTTTGCTTCTTGCCAGGACGGGCGACTGAAAAAAGGAGACCAGTTGATTGCAGTGGATAATCAACCGATTGTGGGACTTTCTCATGCTGAGGTAAGCTGTGTAAAATTCTGTCTGTCAAAGCTTAAGGGAAAAAATGTAGCCGTATCAACAATAACATCAGAAACAAAAACGAGAGCCCCTAGTTTTACTTCATGGCTAAGAGGTATGAGGATAACGGAAGTTTTCGTAATTCTCATAAAGAATCGAACCTCAAACCTTTGGATTCCGCGCTCTACCACTGAGCTTCAGAGCACTCAGTGGTGAGCAAGGTCATTATTAAGGTCAGCTGTGACGATATCTCATGAAGATTATGTGGAGGCATTACCGTTTGATTTAACACCAAAATCTCAAAGCTAAAAATTTACAATTTTTAGGGAGATAGTTAGGAGAATTGATATTGAGATCTCTCGACATTCTTGTTGTAGGCCGTTGCCATATTGAAGAGAACCAAAGGAAAGGTGTCTCTTGTGGTTGCTAGGAAACAAACTCCACCCGGAGGTTCACCAGGAGCAGAAAAATCAACTTCCGCCAATTCATCACCCAGGAGGGAGACCGGAAGTCCCCGTACACCAAGGAGAGGCCCTCCTGTTGCTACGAAACCAGCCAGGGATTCAATGTCAGACAGCAGCAATCCAGGAAGTCCAAGAAAACAATGGAGCCTTGAGAGAGTGCCAGCAGAAATTGTACAGACCGGAAATGGCCAGAGCGGAAGTCCTGCAGCATCAAGAAGAGAGCCTGAGCAGTCCCAAGCATTTGAGCCTGAAGTTCAGGTTGTTCAGCAGTCTCCTAGACAAGCAGCAGGTAGGTTCTTCTACATTCGTGAACAGCAAACATCTTGCGAAGAGACTGTCAGGAAGCAATTTCTACCCAATCTTCAGCTGGAGAATCGTGTTTGTGGCTTGTAAATAGGCATCTGCTTTTCCTTTTGCTAGTTGGGGCTTTTAATCCTGGAAAGTTGGGTTTGGAACAAATGTTTGTGGCTATTTGAGTAGAGGGACTGTAAACCACTTGGAGGAGTTACGTGCACTTTCACCTTCTACAGTGTCATTGGCATTTTAATTTTGACATCTTTGTAATGACTTTTGTAACACTTATTGGTACTTACTGATAGACTAAGTAACCCACTGGCCTATTGCCTTTTTCACGCAGTAGTTACACCAACGTTAATCTCGTCTCCAAATCCCCGCACTGCGCCGATCATTCCCGGTCAGGAATGTGTGATAGAGATTCCCAAAGGCAACACAGGCCTGGGGCTGAGTATCGTTGGAGGCGCGGATACTCTGTTGGTGAGTCATGCTAGAAGAACAACATTGTGGTGTTATGAAGATTTACAGTGTTCCTTATTAACACAGGTTTAAAAGTTTGAAGTTTTTTCTCAGGGTGCTATAGTCATTCATGAAGTGTATGAAGACGGAGCCGCAGCTAAAGATGGCCGACTTTGGGCTGGAGATCAGATCTTAGAAGTAAGATTGTCGATCTTTGTAGTTATGTGTTTCATTTGTTCTGTATTTGTTCCAATAAAAAAGTCGTAGCGTCAGTGAGAGCAGACTAGGAACCCTAAGGAAAAGCTCTAGCCGACGTACTCATGAAAAGACTGTACGTTCATAAGTGAGCACGTAAACGAAACACGCGCGCACAGACGAAAAGAGTTCCTCCTCTTTTTCTAGGCGCGCTCCTGATTAGTCGAGTTCTATTTTCACTCCACCTATTTTGCAGCGTTGAAAATCCGCGGATTTTCTAGTGATGTATGAACTAGTTGAATAAAAAGAGAGAAAGAAGGAGGGGAAATTTTTTATTTTGATCTTGCTTGCTTGCTGAGACATCTTAATCAACCAGATTCAATTTACTCATAAATCCTTCCCTCGCATTGAGCAGCTGTGGTAAGCCTGTCACGTATGTTGGTTCTGTTGTCACTTTTAGGTCAATTATGTGGATCTGCGAGAAGCCACTCACGATATGGCCATCACAGCGTTGAGACAAACACCTGCTGTCGTTAGATTGGCTGTTTTAAGGGACGAATCACAGTTTAAAGATGAAGGTATCTTGCACGTTTTCAGCCATGTCTCTTTATTTTTTTATCATTTTCCCGATTTGAAGGTGGCTTTAATAAATAAGAAAGACCATTATGCTCTTTAATTTTGGAGACAAACTCTAGATAGTTGAAAAAATGAAATCGATAAAAAACAGGTTAGTTAAGGTAGACAAAATTAATTCATTTCACAAATGGGTAAATGTTATAAGCGAAAACTAAACAAAAATTTCTCAGATCACAACATTTCCTCTTAAAGAAGTGATAGCCTGAAAATGTTCTCTCATTTTTATGCAATTTATGAATATCTACTGATGAGAAGCCTGCTACTGAGGTATAAAAGCTGCTTTCTATATCATTTTAAAAGCCGCTATGTTTGTTCTTTCACAGAAGCCTTCGAGTACATCACGCTCGACTTGAACAAAGTTCCCGGCCAGGGACTAGGTCTGAGTATCGTGGGAAGAAGGTAGGTTGTAAATTTGCGGTCTTTCTCTGTTTTATTCTTAGGTAGGTGTTTTTGTAAAACATTCACAGTGCTTCTCTCCACCTAGGAGTATGAATGGGTCCCGAAGCTGAAATTATTTTTGTAAAGCGATCCTCTTTTTTCATTTTTTTTTTCCTCACAGGAACGACACGGGAGTATTTGTTTCAGACGTGGTAAGTTGCAATGTGCATTGATTTTGCTTTACCTTGCCAAGTGAGTTACCAGCTTGCCGTTTTATCGGGATGTCGTCTTGACAGAAAACCTTCGAAATCAAACAAATTTACTCACCGAAGTTGGACGAAACCGTCCGAAAACAGACGGAAGCGTTCGAAGTCAGAAGAGTCTACTGGCTGGTATCATTCATGAATATAGGCAGCTGTAAAATGCATTCTTCAAAAGAAGAATTGTATGTCTTGCTTCTTCGATCGCATTCTTTTGCATATTCCTTCGCTTATAGGTAATTATAACGAAAACAATGACAAGACGATGATAAATCTGTGCTTTTCAGATATTTCTGACGAGCCAGATCAGCTTTTGCAACCGTTGGCCTTGGTTTTCTTGCCTAGTCTTATTAAATGCAGTTTTATTAACTGATTCCAACTTTGATTGACAGGTGAAAGGTGGTATCGCAGAGGCAGACGGTCGTCTTCAAGCTGGTGACCAGATCCTCTCGGTCAACGGTGAGGATCTTAAGAACGCCACTCAGGATGTAGCAGCGGCTGCGCTCAAGGTAAAAAATGGCTTGTCTGTGGCCAGTGGTAAATATATGACACACTAGCGAAGCTGAAGAGATTGCTTTTGCGCTTACTGTTACTTCTTTGCCAAATCTGTGGCTGCCATTTTACAAACCAGAGGAATATCGCGGGAAGAAATAATTGTCTGCGGAGTGTTGGTCGCTGTAGGGAAGGGGAAGGAGAGGAGATGCGTTCATCTCCTTGCTCACCCCACCCTTGTCCTTAGTTACAAGGGAGTTTAATATGTAATGACGGCGAACCCTGTGAAAGCGTTAATAAAAAAAATGACCTTCGTTAAACGTCTCTAACGACGTTAAATTTTCCCTTTTTTGGAACACATAATTCGAAGCAGAATTGCGAATAATTGCCTTTGGATTTTCTGTTTTCAGTTTGTGCACAATTAGGTGATTCCATGGTATTATTTGCGTAGCTCGGGCACCTCATAAACAATTTGTTTGACCACCTTCTCGTTGCCGTCCCTTGTAATGTTCTCCTCTAAAACGTACGTGGTAAGTTAGATTCAAATACTACTGCTACCCTTATAAAGTCTGTCAAATATATTTTGTCCCCTCAGCGTACTTCTGGCCGTGTTATTCTTGAGGTGGCTCGTCTGAAGCACGGCACCAGTTCTAGGCCGTCCTCCATGAGCAGTTTACCAAACATGCAGCCTGGGACCGAATCCCTGAGCAGCATGGAAAATATCGCGGTTCAAATCCCACTCGGTGAGTTAACTGTTGTCAACTATCTGTGGGCTAATCAAAACAAAGGAAAATAACGCAAGGAGCCAATTAGATCTCGAAGTGAAAAGAAGCAAGCTGGTCGAAGTGCGGGAAAACGGGAATGAGCCAATCACTTTGGTTTTAGTCTAGCATTTGATTGGCCGAGAGGGTGGCGTGAGTTTTGTAGACCAATCACAGGGCGGAGTCCCTAATGCAAGGTGCGTTCGCTTCGAAGGTAGACTTGAGATAAGCTTTTGTTGATTTATTCTGTTTGTACTCTTCAGATTTTGAACAGCAAGAAGTTGGCCCCTCATCAGGTTCCGGTCTCCCTCCGGTCGGTCTGCCTCCGAGTTCTTCAATGGTGCAGGAGGCTATTGAACTAGTTCAGTCTGACGAGGAAGGAGAAGAAATGTGAGTGAAGTATTTAAGTCTGGTAATAAGTAAGTTTTGTTAAAGCTTTGAAGGATTCACAAATCATTAATTCAGTCGCGGAGAAAAATGTCCTTCTTGGTGAATAGTCGTCATAGCGCTCGCCTCTTTTTAGCGCGTAAGAATTCTCCGAGCTGCTCACGAAAATAACAAACATCGTGTTGCTTAGAAAATTAAGGTTAGAAATCAGGATGCACTCCTACACAAAGTGGTATGTCCACGAAAGCAATCAGATTGTTAGGTTTTTTTGGACCTGATCTTGCACAACATTCAATAGCATTTGAATCATTTTGAACTAACTTCCCGTCAACGGATTCAGTCACAATACGTGAAGATATAAGGAGAAGATTTTGCGCGATGAGGAAGCTTCCAGCCCAAACTATGGCACCTTGGTTTTTCACCTTGGATTTTTGTCAGCCTTCCTCACCGAACATCTCTACTTTGTTTCAAATTAATTGTTTAAACTTGCTGTCTTGTTTTGTTTTGTTTCTTTTTCCAGGCCACTAGAAGCGAAGATTATTGAATTAGAACGCGGTCCCGAAGGCCTGGGTTTCAGTATCGTGGGTGGTCATGGGAGTCCACACGGTGACCTGCCAATCTACGTCAAAACCGTCTTCCCGACTGGCGCTGCGGCCCGAGATGGGCGACTCAAACGCGGTGATCAGATTATTGCTGTGAATGGAGAGAGTCTTGTTGGAGTCGCCCATGAATCTGCTGTAGCTATGCTAAAAAGGACCAAAGGACGAATTATTCTCACAGTACTTTCGTAAGCACTAAGACTAGAGTTACAAAGTGACCTTCGTGTTTCTAAGTGCAACTTAAAAGAGCTACGTCGCCAAAAAAGAAAAAAAAATAGTTCGCACTCTCAAAGGACATAAACTAATAACTCATTCAGAGTTCTCAACAACTGTACAGTCTTCGTTTTGTTACCCAAGGATGAATTGTAAGATTTTTTTCGAACTGAAAATTCAATTTTCGCAGATTTAATAATCATATTGCTTAACTGTTTATCAAGATTTTTTTTGCATATAATTCTTTTCTACATCATTAACAGATGAAGACGCACGCCCAATGGATACGTGTTTCGTAAACAATTATTTACTGGGACGGGTTTCTTTTCCTTCGAGATACAACTTTTCTAAAGATTACATTTTGACGTTTTTTCATTGCAAAATGCAATACATATTGCTTTGACATTTTATTAAATAAACTTGGGGTTTGGAGTGGGGGGGGGAAGAGTATGGAAGAAAGAAATTTTGGGTGTATCAACTGAGTTCATAATGTAAATTGGCCGCCGAACTAAGTTGTTACAACTAAATGTTCCTTTAATAATTGCTTTTGTAAAATGTTCTAAGAACTGCAAAATTAACGTGTGACGAAGAAAATAGGCTTGGAGAGGCTTATTTCTAGTTTTTCCAGTAAAGAGAATGTATTGGAGTTCTAAACTGTCTTTCAGTTTTTGTCTTACTTTCTCCTTTGCGATAAATCTTGACGGGTTACGCAAATGCCATTTTGTCACTAAGAAACTAGAGCCATTCCAATCCCCCCACCTTAAAACAAGGACTTTTCATTCAAAGGCCTTGCATTATACCCCGATATAAAGCAGAGGGATTGGGATTCTACTCAGAGGTCTCTCAAACGAGAGACTGGGTCCGAGAAGACAGAACACGCAGGAAAATAATTCGCAAAAATGTTTATTGACGCCTTGACTTAAGCTAAGACATCTCTTTGAAAGCGTAACGTGACGATATCTTCAAACTGATATGAATAGGATTTAACTCGAAAAAATATAATTTTTTTTAAATTTAAACTTATAGCATAATCTCTAATTTATCAGATACACAACTTGTAAGAGCCTTTTTAATCGGACTCTTACAACTATCCGTTACAGTTTGATCTGTTTCTTCTTAACGGCAGCCTTTCCTTTCTCCATGATTTTGCTGATTTTTTAAAAGCTATATTTCGTGTTTCATGCAGTGATAGGGAATAATTTAACAAAACCTGATAATTTCCGCCAAATGAACCTTTTCACTCCCAATTATCCCCTCTAGCTGCTCCATATTTCTTTATAAATGAGTCGTGGGAATTTCGTGTTAGATCATGATAACAAATTCTACCTGAAAAGTTCGAGTATTCTTAGTAGCTGTTTGATGGAAAATATATGGATATTTTTGGGAGAAGTTAAATGTTAATCACTCCTGGAAGTTGGAAAGATAAAGAGACGAGGTTGAGGAGTGTTACTTAGGGTAACTTCAGCAATGACGAACTGGTCACAGAATTTTCTTAGAAAATCAGATTTCAGTGCATGTCGATCGAGAGACATGAAATGAACACCATGGTAATTAAAGAGTCAAATCAGAAAAAAAGAAAACGTCACAATTAGACAATAGGAACACAAAAACGGAAAAAACAAGAAAACTCCCCGAAGCGCGGGAAAATGCGTGTGACCAAGTCGTGATTGGTTAAAGTTGTATCTGATTGGTTGGGAGGGTGGCGCGAGCTTTCTAAACCAATCACAGAGCACCATGAGGCGAAACCATTGGAAACCCTGATTATTTTCGATATTCAAATGGAGAACACTGTAATTAAGAAAACTACACAGAATTACCTAAGTACTTTGATCAAGCCACACTCAAACTTTCCCCAATCAGACGTAGGGATACGTCGAACACCACTAAGTAGATCCGGATCGATCTCCTAGCAATCTGTAACCTCTACCCACGCTAACATTACTAATGTTTCTTCTTTTTCTTCTTCTTTCGTTGCTTGTTGGCTCCCTGAAATTTGTCTCCTTCAGGGCCAAACTGCCCGAAGAACGCACGCATGAAATTCTCAAACTCCCTTTCTTCCGATCTGCAATCAAACAAGACAAGCATTTCAAATCAGTCTCTGGTAATTCGACCTTCTTTTGGTGCCTGGTTGTTACAGACCGATCACGTTATCGTAAAGTCAATATAGCAAGACAGATATCAAACTGAAAGACAAACCTAGAATTGAAGCTGCTTTGTTGTGTCTGACGGGTCTTGAGCTTCAGATGGACCGTGTGAGGATTGGCCTCCACTCGACCAATACCCTGCTCACGTAAAACAAACGAAAAAAAAAATTATAACAAAGAAAAGACTCGACTTGAAATAATTACAATTAAATTAATCTAGGAGGACGTGGCCCTACCCCCCCCCCCAGGTGGGGGCGGGGTGAAGAAATTAACTTTCCTTACTTTCCCACCCCTCTGTTATTACTTTTAACCGAATTCGAACACAGCAGCTCGGAAATCCATTGCTATTGTGCAGTAGAACTAGCTAGTCGTTCGGCTAATTAAGATAAAACCAGATGCAAACCTGACAAGCCGCCCACTCAGTGACATCAAATATTTCACCCTCCATACAGGCATAAAAGTGCAGTTTGTAGCCGAGAAAACTACTCTCTGCCCACAGATCTCCCTGATAAAAAAATTAAAAGAAATTTGTAAATTTTTACGTGCCATACCCACCCTCCCCTCTCTCCCGTCCATGAGAGCGCTTTGCGTAACGTAACGCTATAACTTAAATAATTAACATAGCCAGTGAGAACTAAACGACCTCGAGCGCAGGAAAATACGGATGGGTTATATTTTACATCTGATTGGTACAAAGAGTGCGCGGGTTTCTTTGACCAATCAGAGAGCGCAATAAAGCAAAACAAAATTCATCCCGTCCTCCAATTGAAAGAGCTTTAAATTAACCTTCATATTAGCAGAGCCTTCGCCGTAAGCCTTCAAACGTGTGCAAGTACCTCTTTAGCAGCGTGTCTTGTGTTGCAGCGACTACAGAAGCGAGCTGTCAAAATAAACCGCTTTGTGTTGTAGCGACGGTGTTTCCCATCACACACGTTACAATGTAGAGAATTATGCATCTGTTTTAACAAAAAGGAAATTACGTCAATGTGGTATTCACTGAGTAATTCCTGCTACTTTACATTCCCTTCTAAATAAGTTACGAGAGTTTAGTGTTACATCAAGACTACGCAATTCAGCTCATGAGTTTGTCTATTAGAGCTGTTTTCAATTGAGCAGTCGATAAACCAAAACCAAAGTAATCACAACGACCAATCACTACTAAGGTTAACATTATCTTTAGCCAATGAGAGCTCGAAGTAAAAACAGTATAGGCAAGCTACTAAAAGCGCGGGAAAACGCTGGTGAGCAAGTCACAAATGCCTTTGTTCTGCGCCTGATTGGTTTGGAGGATGGCGCAAGTTTTCACGACCAATCACAAAGCGAAGAAAGCCATAACACAGTAATTCCTGATTTCTTCCGACACTGAATTGAAAATTGCTCTGTCTTCACCTGTTTGCTGGAGAGAGGATTGATGCACGATTGAAGATTGCTTTATCACCACCTCCTCACTGGATAGCATATTGATATTGTAGGAAGAAACCACCTGTTAACCTTTTGGTGGTAGTGAAGAGGTTAAGTGTTTGCTCCGTTGTCAAGAAACATTCTCTGAAGCTCAGTGAAAAAAGCACTGGGTCGAGAGTTGCGAAGGTCTGAGGTTCGATTCCGGGCGCTCAGTTCGCTAAACGCGACGCGACGCGACTCGACCCAGACTTCCCTCGTTTTTCGCTCCACCTCGGATTTACTTTTCTTCTTCCCAAGTTTGCGGCTCTTTAATAATAAAATCTCTCTGTGGAAAAATTTACTTACCTCTTCCATCTTTTTCCCTAAATCGGCAAAAAACTGTTCTGGACTCGTGTGCCCACCGTAACGCTCCTTCTACAAGAAATATCCAGCAAAAAGGGAAAAAAAATCCCTGTTAAAAATTTTCAACAAACTGTACAAAAAGTCGTACAATTTTTGTCGCCTGATTCTCATAGGGTCCAGGGAACTCATTGACGTAACCTGGGAACTAGTCTAACAAATGCTGCTCTCCATGCATTTACGAAAAAATGGGGATTTTGGATCTGGCTTTCATAATCAAAATCGCTAGTTTTTATCCATTTTCAACAATCATTTCCGCTCTTCTTTGAAATTTGGTTTTCATAAAGGTAAACTTATTCTGTATTTGTTTGCATTTGTCTAGTCCCCAGGCTTCATCATCTCAGCGGTCGTTTTTGGTTTTGAGCGGCTTTTAGTCCGTTTTTATCAATGAAATCCACATTTTGTTATTATTTTCTGTCGTTTTAGGAGATCTTCAGGCAGGTTTTACTGTTTATCCTGGAACCTCTTCCATCTCCACAAGAAAAGGAAAATTGATTCTTAAGTTTGGACCTTTCTACACAGATTTTACAAACTTAACTCACCCTTTCTTCCGCTCTCGTCCTCCAAGCTGCTTCGGCATCATAATTGGCACGCTTCTCCTATTTAAAAGATGTGGATATTAAACAAATGAGCAGCATATATATTTAAATAAACTCATTCAATAACTACCTGTTACTAGCAAGTGAATATATGAACAATTGTCAACTTACAGGATCACTTAGAATGTCGAAAGCATTGGCAAGAGTCTTGAAAGCCTCGTCTGCTTGTGGGTGGGTATTCTTTATAAAAAAAAAAATGAGGAGGAAGAAATACCATTAAATAACACCTCTTTTCCTAATTTTTTTTTGAGGTACATAAATACGACTGGGGCTAAGATCAACTGGGGCTTACATCTTTTAAGAGCAACCTTAAAACTTATCTTTTTAAGCGTTATTTTTATTTGTAGTTTTGCTCTAGTATTTTTCGAATTTAATATTTATTAAGTTACTGCTTTAACCATTTTATTGTAAAGTGCCTTAGAGCTCTAGAATAGGCTGCTATAGAAATTTTTGTATTATTATAATATTATTATTATCAATCACAACTTCATTCTTTGTAGGACTTAATGTTAAATTTTTTTCTCTTTTTTGTTTTTTTG